ACGCAGTGATGTAGCAAGACCCCGCAAGCCACGCCACTGCAAGCACACGCAGTAGGTGAAGCTAGGGAGGGCTGCGGTGTGCTGCACACTTCGATCTAGCCCTATGCCTAGCTACACGCATGTGTAATGCGTCATTGGCAGGCCTGCCACATGGCCAAAGCCTCTCTTCCTGGGTACTTGTGGCAAGGGAAACTACCTGTGAAGAAATACAGCTGGATTAGTTCACAAATGCTTACTTCCCTTGTATTTCTCATTTAATTTAAGAGGGATCTGATGTAACAGGACGTTTCCTCTTGTCCCACCCTCCCTGTTATACGAGGTTTCCACAGTATAATATAGAAATTGAGACCCTGGTTGCAAAACTTGAAATAATTATAATTCTGTCTTCCATTTTCCGTTCTCAGCTGAAGCGGGAGCTGGTAGCAAAAGCTGCCGGGATGGAGTTCATCTCCCCACAACAACTGCAGGAAAGATTCCGGACAAAGAGTGGGTCGTCTGGGGAGGGGGGAGAGAGGAGTGACCCGGAGGAGGAGAGTCTGGAGGATTCGGACGAAGAAACTGATGACAGCGATGACGACGACGACTCGAGCGAGGACGAAGAAGATGAGGGAAATGGAGAGAACCCGTCGCTGAGTCTGGAGCCGGAGAAGAAAGGCACGGAGATTGAGTTCCGACATCTGCAGCTCAAGGGGAACGCATCAGCCCTGCTGGCGGACAGACTGAAGGTCGTGATCCAGTGTGGCCGGTGCAAGAACCACGCAGACCTCACCGTCCATCAGGGCAAGGTGGTGTCCTTGAGCTGCGGCAAGTGTAGCCAGAGGCAGTTCGTGAACTACCGTGCGGCGCTGATGCATCAGTTCTCCTCCACCGTGGGCTACCTGGACGTGGACGGCTGTCAGCCGTTTGACCTTGTCCTGCAGGAGTGTCGGGTCTTCGTCTCCTGCTTGGGCTGCAGCAAGCAGACCAAAATAGAGGTGAGTTTCTCGTGTCCGCAAGTTTATGGTATATGTGAGGCAGCGTGGTGAAATCAGGCGCTCATCAAAATACTGAAAGTCAAGAAACTGGCATTTTTCTGCCAGTTGTTTGGGAATTTTTATCAAATTTTTGTTTTTTGGCTCGACACCTTAAAGGCATAAGAGATATAAATTTTTAGTTATTTCACCTCGATGCCTCACGTATACTTTCACTGTTGAAATTGTCCAAAATGTCAGGAGAAAAGCGGATGGCTTAGACAATTGGAGGTCTTGGACTGTGTCATTAGGATGTTCCACAAAAGCAAGTGGGAAGTGGTCATTTCTACAGCTGATTGTCTTGGACAGCTGCCCACTAGAACAGATCTGACTGTGTGACCGTAGCCCGGGCCCCAAGCCTGGTTTAGAATGGAAGGGGGGCAGAGGGATCAACAACCTCTCCATACAAAAAGAACTTCGATACAGAAACAAAAAACCTCTGAATTTCTCCCCTGTTGTTTCACCTTTTGAAAAAGTTTCTAGAAAGAATAGAAAAAAACACATAATTTTTACAAATTCTGTACCCGAATGGATCTTTTAAGCGAAGTTCTGTAGTTGTAAGTAGTTTCTAGAGTTCACAAGGGCATGTGTGTATTTGGAATGAAGCATTAGCTACATATATGGTTACCAGAAATCTTTGAATTCTTCATGGAGTGTAACTGAAAGAGAGAAAAATGACCCGAACATTGAGTGGTATGTCTATGCAGATGTTGTTGTTGTTGTTGTTGTTGTTGTTGTTATGTTGTTATCGATAAGTCAATGCAGAGGAAATCAAGATTGCTTTGTCTTTATGAAAACCTTCTGTAGTTCCTTATCAGTGGAAGTTGTGAGGGCTTGCGACAGGAGGATGAACGGAGTCACATGTACAACTTTTGTTACCGGCTTAGAAGTACTATCATATTGTTTATAATGACACATACTTAAGTGTCATGACTTGTTACTTTGTTTTCTCTGCTCAAACTATGGCAATGACTTAACTTAGGGACTCTTTAGGTGGTAGAAATTGTCTTCATTTTTGCCCTCTCTGAGAAACCCTTCAGTTGTCATGAAAACTGAGATTTTACATTTCTTTTGTAGTCAGGATTTAATGATTTTATCAAACATTTTTTGTCTGTTGTCACCCCATTTTTATTTTGAATGACTTATACTAAATTTTTTTTTTTTTTTTTTTTTTTTAAATCCAGGGTCTCATTTCGGGGCAGATGATTGATGGTTGGTGCCAAGCCTGCAACGCTAAGTTCAAACTGGCGACCGAGTCGGTCAAGTTCACTCAGCTGGTACCCTCGGGAGTTGACACCTGTGAGTACACAGATCTCACCGCTTTAACCCTGCCACGAATCCGTCGTAAATTTCATTCTGTGATGTTGCGGCTGATTTAATCAGCTGTAATTTGAGTCGTCGTTCTTTGGGTTCATTTGTCCTGTTTTATGTCGCCAAACCTTTCAACTCTTTCTTAAATGAGGTCTATTTATTTCCTAGTAAAATTCTACTGTCTGAAAACGTATCAGTTTATGGCCTCCCAAAACTTGAAATGCCTTTTTTCTTTAGACATTTTTTCTTCAGACATTTTTTCTTTAGACATTTTTTAGACATTTATTCTTTAGACAATTTTTATACATTTATTTTTTAGACATTTTTTCTTTAGACATTTTTTAGACATTTTTTCTTTAGACGTTTTTTAGACAATTATTTTTTAGACATTTTTTCTTTAGACATTTTCTTTGATCAGAAATGAGCGTCTTGTTTCCTGCCACAAATGTGCCTGTGCCGTTAGCTGTACCGTTGTGTCGTTTGTACCTAGGTTTTTCTTGTCATGTCGCCTTCATCGGCAGATATTGGCAGGTCAACTATTATTATTATTGTTGTTACTGTTATGATTATTATTGTTGTTGTTATTATTATTATGATTATTTTTGTTATTATTAATATCATGATTATTATTTCTTTTTTTTCTTTCCGTCTTTTTTCTTCCAGTGGATAACGTCTGCGGATTCATTTTTCACCATCTGATATTAACAAACGAACTACACTCACTATTGTTATTATTATAATGATTATTTTCTCTCCGTCTCTTTGTTCCAGTGTCGAACATCCGCAGATGCATTGTTCATAATGTGATATTGACAAAGGAACGACCATCACTATTGTTATTATCATAATGATTATTTTCTCTCCGTCTCTGTGTTCCAGCGGTGAGCAATGTGGTGGAAGTGGCTCCGTCCAGAACACGCAAGCCTCCCAAAGACCCGGCCATCAGAGAGGGCCTTCCCCTCCCGGAGTTTGGCACGTGCAAGCACTACAAGCACAGCTATCGCTGGCTGAGGTTTCCCTGCTGCGGCAAGGCCTACCCGTGTGACGTCTGCCACGACAAGAAGGAGGACCACGAGATGACGCTGGCCAACCGCATGATCTGCGGCCATTGCTGCAAGGAACAGGTTCGTACCTCCGTGCACTTGATGAACCGGCTCTGATGGCCACAGTCTAACACAGTCACCTCCATACAAACAGCCGCCTGTTTAACACAGTCACCTCCATACACTTGATGAACCGGCTCTGATGACAACCTGTCAAACACAGTCACCTCCATACAAACGACCACTTCTATAAGACAATCACCTGTGCAAACGGTCACCTCTATAAGACAATCACCTGTACAAATGACCACCTGTATAAGACAATCACCTATACAAACGGCCACCTGTATAAGACAAACACTTATCTCCTCGACAAATGATGGCCATCTTGGACAATTCCAGCCGGCTGTATCTTTGCTTTAGGGAAATATTTAGGAAGACTTTATGAAATAAGGAAAGCACATTTGTAGATCTTTTTTTAGTTAGTTATAGTAGAGGGTTTTACGGCGCTCGCAACTGCATAAGGTCATATGAGCGCCAAGGGGTGGGTGTCAACAGAGAAGTCTTTACAGGAAATCAGACTTACTCTGCTCACCTCTCTAGCTTCAACAGCACAAGGTCTGCTTCGACTATCAAGGCATCCCGGAAATAGCGGGTCACAAGAGAGTGACAAACACACAAAAGAAGTAGAGGAAAATGACAATAGTAAGGATTAGGAAAGAAAAAGCAGCAGTTCCCTGTTGTAGATCAGGCACATTTATGAGTGTGACATGGTGAATCGGACATGGTTCACAGTAGCAAGTACAAACCTTATTACTTATTACCGATGCAGCAATTCATCAACATACGCAATGTCTCACTAGTGCAGACTGTCTTTCTATAATAATAATGATGATAATTATAATAATTGCATTCCTGTGACACGGGTGGGTTGTTGGAGGGTGCTACTGGTAGGTCCTTCTTCTTTTCTGTCCCTCTGTTGTTTCTGTCTGTGTGGGTGGTTGGAGGGTGTCACTGGTAGGTCCTACTTCTTTTCTTTCCCTCTGTTGTTTCTGTCTGGGTGGGTTGTTGTAGGGTGTCACTGGTAGGTCCTACTTCTTTACTTTCCCTCTGTTGTGTCTTGTCTATCTTGTCTTGCTTCCTCCCAGTACCATATGACTCTTGTTGTGTCTATGTGCTTCTCTTGACTCAAACTCAAAATTCAAATTTGAACTCAAATTCAGATTCCAACTCAAGCTCAACCTCTTGACTCAAAACCTCGAACAATTTGAACTCAAATTCAGATTCCAACTCAAGCTCAACCTCTTGACTCAAAACCTCGAACAATTTGAACTCAAATTCAGATTCCAACTCAAGCTCAGCCTCTTGACTCAAAACCTCAAACTGAGATTCAAACTCGACTTCCACTTTAAACTCAAACTCAACTTTTTGTCTTCCCACACAGAACTTCTCGGCATCTCGCCCGTGCTCCGCCTGCGGCCAGCACATGACCAAGATCCGCTCGGCCCACTGGGAAGGCGGCCGCGGCTGCCGGGACAAGATCAGCATGAGCCGCAACGACCAGCAGAAATACCGCAGCCTGCACAAGACGCAGTCCAACCACAGGAAGAAGGTTCAGAGCGGGGCTTCCTCCAAGAAAAACACCAAGCTCCGACATTCATAAGTCTGGAGAATCCACCGGAAGAACACATGCGGATAACTTTACAACGACAGATATACGCCTTTGGCCGATATTTATAGTAAAGGCTTTCTTGTTTGGCGTCTTTGAGCCAAAAAAAAAAAATGCGTGGCCAAACCGAGGCTCAGACCTGGACTTTCTGCTTTGGAGACAAGCGCACTAACCACTCCGCCACCGCGCCACTGTAAGATACAGGCTTTACAAATACTGCAATAGTGCTTTGTGGTCGTGTTGTCACCGTGAACGACAACAAAGTGGGAATCCTTCAATGACGTGAAACAAGATAGCTGGTAGGCCTACTATAAATATCGGCCAATGCCGTACATCTGTCGTTCTTAAGTTATCCACATGTCTAGATGAACACCCAAACTTACACGTGCGTAAGTGTGGAGAATCCACCCAAAGAACATCAAGCTTAGACATGTATAAAAAAAGTGTGAAGAATCCGCCAGAAAGAACATCAAGCTTAGACATGTATAAGTGGGGAGAATCCACCAAAAGAACATCAAGCTTAGACATGTATAAGTGTGGAGAATCCGCCAGAAAGAACATCAAGCTTAGACATGTATAAGTGTGGAGAATCCACCCAAAGAACATCAAGCTTAGACATGTATAAGTGTGGAGAATCCACCCAAAGAACATCAAGCTTAGACATGTATAAAATAAGTATGAAGAATCCGCCAGAAAGAACATCAAACTTAGACATACATAAGTGGGGAGAATCCACCAAAAGAACATCAAGCTTAGACATGTATAAGTGTGAAGAATCCACCAAAAAGAACATCAAGCGTAGAGAGTCCCAAGCTCTGTGAAGTAATGCTTAGTTGGCAGCGTTATGTCTGTCTGTTCCTAAGTATACTTACGACCTTACAGCATGCATCAAAATAACATTGAGTGTGTATCTAGCTTACGATAATTATTGTTTATATTGCTGCTCATTTATATTATGCATGTGATTGTAAGCCTATGTGTGTGCGCGTGTGTGTGGGCACGCGCGCGCTCTTGTGTGTGTGTGTGTGCGCGCGCGCTCTCTCTTGTGTGTGTGTGTACACATGGTGAAACACCAAACCAATGTGCCAGGATCTGGACAATAAAGATGTATCTTATCTTATCTTAATTCAAATGACCGTGGAGACTGGCCTAACTGTCCTGTACAGCCACCGATTGTCGAGGAGACAATTGGCCGTCTTAGACCGGTGGTCGTCTTACAGAATGTCGTCTTACAGAGTGTCGTCTTACAGAGTGTCGTCATCATGTAAAAAAAACAATATGCAAGGGAAGCTAGAGAGGTGAACAGAGTAAGTCTGATTCCCTGTAAGGACTTCTCTGTTGACACCCACCCCTTGGCGCTCATATGACCATATGCAGTTGCGAGTGCCGTAAAACCTCCACTAAATTTAAAAACAAATGTGTGCAGCCTTGGAAAGGAAGTCGGTGTGCTGCATGTGTCTTTGTGTTGTGTCTTTGCGTTGTGTCTTTGTGTTGTGTCTTTGTTTAGTGTCTTTGCGTTGTGTCTTTGTGTAGTGTCTTTGCGTTGTGTCTTTGTGTAGTGTCTTTGCGTTGTGTCTTTGTGTAGTGTCTTTGCGTTGTGTCTTTGTGTTGTGTCTTTGTGTTGTGTCTTTGTGTTGTGTCTTTGTGTTGTGTCTTTGTGTTGTGTATTTGCGTTGTGTATTTGCGTTGTGTCTTTGTGTTGTGTCTTTGTGTTGATTTGCATCCTATAATATTCTGGAATACGACACGTCTTTTTTCATTATCATCAGACTTGTACATTTGTCAAGGTTTGTGGCATCCACTGCTCTCTGTGCCATGTAAATATTGTCATTTTATCCTGAGAAAGAGAGAGAGAGAGAGAGTCTCTTCTTTGTAGATGTGCTCGCCTTTTATACTTTACTCATTCCTTTTTGTCAGTTTCCAGTTTTTCAGGCACTGACAATGTTTCCCTTTATGTTCATTTTGTTACCGCATTCACATTTCTAGAAGTTTCCTCCTTTTTGGTTGTCTATATGATATAGTTAAAAAGACAGTTTAAAAGTTGTAAAAACATTTTTACATTCTTTTTTTTTCTTGATGGGGGGTATAGTAGATTTTGTATAACTTGCTTTTAGCTACAGAAAGCAAAAACATATTCGCTAAATGTATCTTTTTCATCTTTGTCAATGTTTATGGCTTGGTTGAAAGCCTGTTCTTCTTCTGTTTCCGTCTTTTGCTTACTTGATATTTGATAGAGAGGAACAGGCGACGAGGGCAGCCAGGACGCCATGTTTTACCTTGATAGAGAGGAACAGACAACGAGGGCAGCCAGGACGCCATGTTTTACCTTGATAGAGAGGAACAGGCGACGAGGGCAGCCAGGACGCCATGTTTTTCCTTGATAGAAAGGAACAGGCAACGAGGGCAGCCAGGACGCCATGTTTTTCCTTGATAGAGAGGAACAGGCAACGAGGGCAGCCAGGACGCCATGTTTTTCCTTGATAGAGAGGAACAGGCAACGAGGGCAGCCAGGACGCCATGTTTTACCGTTACATCAGTTACCCGTGGAATAGTTACTTTGGCCAGACTCTCCGAAGACTTTGACTGGCAGATTTGTCCAAGACTGTCAATGAAGTAATAAAGAGCGGGTATTGTTTTCCTCTCCCAACTACCCACAAGTGTCTGTCTTTGCTCTTTGCTGGTTGTGGTACTACTGTAGTATAAGTAATATCAGCTTTCATTCTCTCCCTCTCTCTCTGTCTCTATCTCTCTCTCTCTCTCTCTCTCTGTCTCTATCTCTCTCTCTCTCTCTCTCTCTCTTTCTCTCTCTCTCCTCTTTTCTCTCTTCTCCCCTCTCTTCTCCCCTCTCTCTCTATCTCTATCCCTCTCCCCCCCC